CGACACAGTCCATAGGCTAGGCATCCCACAGGTAGTGTAGCCTTTAAATTGAGGCACAGAACAAGCAAGGCAGCCACACACTGGTCCGATGATCAAAGAGCGAAAGACAAGAAAGAGGAGGCTCACCAAGCCATTTATCTCTCTGCCCTTCAGTTAATCCCACTTGTGTTTGTCGGCCTGGCTGGCACAATAAACTATCTCAGTGGGGTAGAAAGGGGGAACCGATTACAAGGATCTACATATAACCTTCTCCTTAGGGGATGGACAACAGAAAAGTGGGTGCAAGGAGACATCGGACAGTATAAGATATGACAAAATAATAATAAATTTTAAATTATCAAGGTTCATGAAGGAGGAGGAGCGCGGAGTGGTGGGGGGAGAATGAGGAGCTGACATCAAGGGCTCAGTAGAAAGCAGATGTTTTGAGAATGATGATGGCAACAAATGTACAAATGTGCTTGACACAATGTATGGAAGTATGGATTGTGATAAGAGTTGTACAAGCCCCCAGTAAAATGATTTTTAAAAAAAGATCACATAAGAAGTTACCTAATTACAAACTTGACACTCTATCATACAACATCCACATGAGAACTTAGACTACCAGGCAATCCTGAGATCACATCAATTGGTCACTCATTCAATAAGTATTGTTAATAGATATTATGAGACTTATTCAACTCAAAGTATTGCTGAGATCACTGATATTTAGATATGTCCTAAGGATCATGCCTATTTATTGCCTTACCTCTCAATGACTTGTCCCTAAATCAAGTGAAGTAAAGAAATCAGCATATCTGGAGTATGTTAGCTTAGCTGTCAAGAAAATTTCTGTTTTTATGCACATTTAAATTTTTTCGTTGACCACCATATGAAAAAATGCACATGTGGTCAACATTTTGATGGTGCCTGCAAAACCCTTGTCCTCTTCCCCTCCATGTTACACATGGAGAACTCAACATACTAAATCCCACTTGGAAATGAATGTCAATAAAAAGTCTTTATGAGTTTTTAACAAGCTGAAATACTTCCTATCAGACATGTAGAACCACAATCTCTATTTTCTTTCTTTGTCTTCTCTGTTGAGACATAAGAAGTCTTATCAGTGGCAGTAACAGCCTCCATTGAAGGGCCATTTGAGGATCGTTCCTTCTTTAAGTGCTTCCCAATTCCTTTGACAAGTCTTGGTGGTAAGTAGATAAGCAACAAATAGAGAAGAAAGGGCAGTTTGGACTTTTATGGTTCCCTACACGTTTACGAAATTGACCAAAAGAAATCAGGCTTCTCACAAGTTCCAACAATTCTTTCCCAAGACATTTTAGCAATCGATTTTTGTTAAACATTCTACCATAAGTGTAAGATTCTCAGTTAACACTTATAATCTGTGCACTTTCCAGAAAAACTTCCATGTGTGGAATAAAAGTTGTAGGAAACTAACATAGAGGGGATTACAGCAAATCCACCACAGAAGCAAATGTACTCAAAACAAATTTTGAATTCTCAGTATTCCAAAAAGTACATATTAAGCTTATTGGTGCAGGTAAGTAGGAAAAATAAGAAAATGTCTAACTTGGAAAAATAGATATTCTACTCCCAAAATCTATAAAGGAAATGAAAAAAAGAGAGAAATAATTGTTTTTGTCTTCCCGAGATACTAGCCAGTGCACATTTTAGAAAGTGTACACAGTGCTTGCTTCGGCGGCACATATACTAAAATTGGAACGATACAGAGAGAAAGTGTACGCATATTGTGTATTGATACAGAAAGTTATGTTACTTTGCGAAGTCTACAATATACAAATTATCTCGTATTTCAGTGGAAGTTCAAGCAAGAATATTTGACACAAACTCACCTGAATTAACGCATTGTCTTTAGAAAACACTGAATCACCTGACAGCAAAAGAGGCTCACTCTTCTCCCAGCTCTCTTGGCTGATGAGTGTGTCTGCATAGTTTGGCTGTGGAAAGTTCAAGACTCGGCTGTGAAAAAGACCTCATGGGAATAGGTCTGTAGAAAGGCCTGGACCCCATCGACGCCCACAAAGTGGGACTCAGGCACTCTCGTCAATCCTCCTGCAAAAGCCTGCCCCATGCGTGATGTGTGCCAGCGCCTCAGCCTGAGCGCCATTAGCACAACGACAAAGCCAGGAAGACGCAGGAGACTGCAGCCACAACCACCACCAGTACAACGTGAGGCCAGAGTCCTCTGGATTGGGGGGAGACTCCAGACTGCCCAGGTCAGGTCGGCCAGAACGTCGGGGACGCTGTCGGCTACGGCCACCGTGAGCGTGATGGTGGCCGAAAGAGGAGGCTGGCCGTGGTCCTGGACTGCCACCACGAGGCTCTGCTTGAGCGCATCCCTGTCCTGCAGGGCCCGCGCTGTGCGCACTTCGCCCGTGTGCACGCCCACCG